CCTGCTTCTGGATCCAGCAGGGTGCGCTCCACTCTTTTTTGATCCATTCTTCGATGGGGCAGGTCAGCGGCGCCGATTCGCGCCACCTGTCGAGCTCTGCTGCCCATTCAGTGCTCGCAAGAGTGGAGCAGCTGCAACTACTAGCTGCTCCTAGGATCAGGGCAGACTGAGGGGCCACTAAATCGTGCCCCGAGAAAGAAAAACCATCAGCTTTGCAAAACGAGCAGGCCCTACGGCAACCAGCACGGACTTGACGAGAATGCGCTTCAGCTGTAGGTTGGTCTCCAGCTCGCTGCGCAGCTTGTGCTGCTCGGGCAGCACGTAACTGAATGGCTCGTGCATGTTTGTCGCCAGGTCGATATGGTAGATGCTGTGGCTCATCTCGAGTTTGGCGAGCGACCACGGGCATGAGATGTTTCATGTATGTCCACTTCCGTGCAGGCGAGAACCTTTCCAGTCCATTCGCGTTCATGAGGCTGTCGAGTATGATCTTGTAACCGTCGTCCGTGGAGACCATTTCTGGGATGCGCTGCTCTTCCTCTGGGATGTTCTGCTTGGCTCTAAAGGAGGCGTGGCTGCTGGAGAGGTCGCTCAGGCGCGACTGGGCCATCTCCACTGGGTCCATGGCAACAGAGAGGTGGATGTCCGTGGCAATCAGGTAATGCTCTGGCGTATTTACAAGGAGTCTATCGATGGTCGCCGCTGTGTATTGCTGTCTGCTGAAATATGTTGGCACCTCCGTTCTGATCTCCTGCATAGAGTCATATAGGGAGCGCCGGAGGGCTTCAGCATGTTGGTATGTATGATGTGTCCGTAGCTGGGCCTGGTCAGGTATCGGGTAATCATAGGACATCGGAACGCCTTCACGGATGTTGATGTCACCTATCGCGATGAGCGTGAGCTCAAGATGATTGCTGCTTGCCCATTGAATGTTTTCCATCCATCTGCTATTGATAACATTCTTATCGTTCAGGGAAATGTTGTTGTTGTGGACATTCATGATGCGCATCTGGTAGCGTAGCTCCTGTTGCTTAATAGACAGTTGCGTGACCCTGCCTGGAGCAAGCACTTCTAATTCGAGAGACGGTCTGGTATCTGCATCGCTGGTGAGCCACGGCACCAGGAATGCCACTCCACCCCTTCGTGCATTGCCAGCGCGCTCAGCATCGGGTAATTCAGATGAATACTGTGATGATTCTTCCGCCTGTGAGCGGAAGACCTTGTAATTGTATGGAGAAGAGGCAACCATAACTTCTAGCTGCTGTCGATCACCATGCGTCTCCTGAATCATGATGAGAGCGGATGCCTTCATGGACCTCTCCATCTTGCGCAGCTTGTTCTTGCGGCGATGATACTTGTAGCAGCACAGGTCATGATAATTCCACGATACTACTTGGCCACGATGATCTCTAGCCTGTTGTAGCCACGGACTCCAGCGCTTATTAAATAGACCACCGCGATGTATCTGTGGCCAAGAAGAGCTGTTGAAACTGATCTGTAATAGTGATCTTGTCGATACCCATCTGGTGGGCGACTGCGATGTTCCACCTGAGTTTTGTGGGTGCGCTGGCGTTGTCTCCGACGTCGAGAACCACAAGGGGAATTGAGCTGCAAGAAACAATACCTTCGTCTCCGACTCTTCTGAAGTGGTGATTGCCGTACTTGTCCGCCAGGAGCCTGACCAATCTCTTCGTTTGTAGCTCTCGCCGAAGTGTTTTAGGAGACTTGTCCGCGTTAATGTAAAGTGGGGTGAGCGCGCCAGAAGTGTTTGGAGCCGAGAAGTTACGCCACTGACCTCCTGCTCTGAGATTCCGTGCGAGTGAAAGACTGCGTGAGGTGGCTGCTGGTCCACCAAGGACTCTGAGGAAGAAACGCCGTGCAGGAACGTCGCCGATGAGCTCGACATCGTTGGTGGAGACGCCTGCTGCTTGATCCAGGGTTCAAGCGCTCGCTTGACCTCTGCGTGATGACGATGGTGATGATGACGATGATGATGATGATGATGATGATGATGATGATGATGATGATGATGACGGGAGGAGAGAGAAGGGGGAGGAGGAGGAGGAGGAGGAGGAGGAGGAGGAGGAGGAGAGGAAAAGAGGAAAGCGGGGCGACGTCTCTTCAAAAAGAGGACCCAACACCACAGGATGGTTGGGAAAACTCCAGACGTCGCGTGTCTGGGAGGGCGCCGCTCCGCGGGCGCGGTCGACATTGGGCGGGGACGGGGTCGATGGGAGCAAACCCTGAAATCCTGGCGTGCAATTTTTCCACAACGGGCGATTTCGCTTCATTTCGGGCCCCGGGACCCTCACATGTCGACCCGGCTCGAAACATGACGCAGAAAGATAGGGTCCAGGGCTCCGGTCTTGATTTTTGCGATTCGCAGATGGAGAGCGTGTCGCCTCCAAAATGTGGCTCTCGCCTTAGCGCCGCGCGCAATCGTTTCAAACCTTTGCCAGAGCTTCACGGATTGAGGACAGGTCGTTTTCACAATATGGCTCTCGCCCTTGCGCCGCGCACATTCGTTTCAAAATGGAGGAGCTTCACGGAATGAGGGCGGGTGGTTTTCAAAATGTGGCTCTCGCCTTTGCGCCACGCACAATCGTTGTTAACATTTGCAGGAGCTTCACGGATTGAGGGCGGTCCCTTTTCAGAATGTGCCTCTCGCCTCAGCGCAGCGCACATTCGTTTCAACAAATTGTAAGAGTTGTGCTGATTATCATGGCTAACGTGCCATGTTTTGAAACGGTTCAGGACTGCCAGGGCGCAACAATTACGTTGATTCGCGGTGTTGAAGTCCCAGGAGCGGTGTTCTGGTATGAATCAGGACCGTCAAGACGCAACAGTCAGATTGACTCGTGGCGTTGAAGTCCTGAGAGTGGTGTTCTGGCAGGCTTCAGGATTTTCACATGGTTGTCCCCCAACGGGGCACTGCCCTCAGTGGACACGAACCCTCGTAGGGGCCTGTGCAGAGGGAGCTTGGAGGGAGGGTGTACTCCAACATCGTTGATAAGTCTTGGGTTTGCACTGGTGGTCCTCCTCCTCCTTTCTCAGGCAAGCCGCAGAGCGAAAGCTCGAAGCTGAGGCTCCTCCTGTCGACAGGGCACAGCAAGGGTGCCGTGCGCGCGTGCTCGAAGCCTTCCGCCGAGGGGAGGCCAATGCCAAGTTCAGGGCAGTGCGTGCAAATGCGCGCTCACTTGCTTACCCTGGGTTTGCGATGCATCTGCGCACGCACTGACAGTGGCGAGCATTTGAGCCCGATTCGGGCACCCCCCCAAAATGCTTCATGCTCTGAGTGCGCTCCGGCCATCCCGCGGCCCTCCTCCCCCCTCGCTCCTGCCCTCCTGTTCATGTGCGCGTTATTCGCTTCCGACGCGTCCCGCCGATAGCCGACCGCTTGCTGGAGCCAGCTCGCCACCGATCGCAAAAGTGCAAGAGCATGTTGCGTCCCTGCTCAAGGGCCCTCCCCGAGTGAGGCTAACGGGGAGCTTCAGAGGACTCCCTCGCTGCAGACATCAGCGGCCTCGAGGCCTGCAACACCACCAGAAATCCAGATGGTCGGACGGGTCGTGGAGGTGACGCGATCGTCTTGTCGAGTCTCTGGGCAGACCGAGAAGGTTTGTTCACGACTCAGCCCAATCTCGAGGCCCTTGTCCGAAAGGAAGGGGGGGCAGGCACCAGCTCAATGCAACCCACATTGAATGGAGGGGTATCCCGAACATGCTTGTGGTTTCTGCGGGGGGTCGCGACAACTGTGGCTGCGAAGTTGTTAGCCCTTGCACGGCTCCAGCAAAGTCCTCCGAACGGACAAAGCTGAAAACCGATCCGGGCCCCGAAGAGATCTGACAAACAGTATTCACAGGCAGGTGGGCGTAGTACATGCTGAGAACATATCCTCGTCATTTCATTCGCGCAAGAGCATGGGTATAACCTTTCGGAGGACCGCGCGGGATTCTTGGATCGGCGCTGGGCCGCCTCCCTGGCGCGCGGAGCGAACCAGAGGCGGCGATGGAAGCGACGCCAGGGGGATCCTTCGCCGATCCGAGAAACCAGCGCTGTCCTTCATCCTTCGAGTAGGGGATCCACTACAAAACTAACTCACTCCAAACCTGAAGCTGTCGTCGAATCTGCGCCAAATGCTTCGAATGCTTCGTAGAGCTTCGAATGCTTCGTAGATCTACGAAGCATTCTACGTATTCTCTCAGGCTCGGCGGGAAAATCAATTCCGGGGTAAACCAGTTAGGCAGTCGATCCCCCTAAAACAGGGCTAGGATCGGGATAAATCGCTCCAGAGCGTTCCAGAGCGCTCTCAGAGCGTTCCGGAACGCTCTGGAGCGGCCGCGGCGCCCAATACATCCTCCAAACCCGCCGATTCTCAGAGATTTCGAGTTATCCCGATCCGATTTTGTCCCGATCTTCGCGTCGTTTTACCCCCACTCGTGTTCTGGAACCAGGGCGAGAGGCAGTGACGGAAGGGGCCGGTCTGCTGCAGCCACCGTGCCTTCCACCAGGGAAGCGCCGAGAACCCAACGGTGAATGGGGCTCTTCTCCGACCACGGCGAGCGCCGGCCACGAAGGGCCTCCTCCTCCTCCTCCTCCTCCTCCTCCTCCTGCTGCTCGTGGACCCCTCCTCCTCCTCCTCCTCCTCCTCCTCCTCCTCCTCCCTCCTCCTGCTCGTGGACCCCTCCTCCTCCTCCTCCTCCTCCTCCTCCTCCTCCGCGAAGCCGCCCTCTGCTCGTGGACCCCCCCGGAGCCCTGCATTTCGGCGTGACTGTAGGGGGTCGGCCAGGCCGCGCCTGACCCTCCTGTAAGACGGAGCCAGGACGAGGATAAAATCGGGCGAGGACAGATCGAGAATCTCTGAGATCAGGCGGCTCTGGAAGATGTCGCGGGTGCCGCAGCCTTCTCAGAACGTTCGGGAACGCTCTGAGAGCGTTCTGGAACGCTCTGGAACGGATTTATCCTCGTCCTAGCCCCGTCCGATCCTCCCCCCCCGGGGCCTCCCTGAGGAAGGAGGCCGTGCCCATGTAGCCCGTCAGCAGGTGCGAATGCCTGGGCACGCTGGAAACGGGCCCCGAGAGAGACGCGGGGGAGCCTTGTAACGTGGACATTGTGGCAAGGGATTTGGATGTGATAGTGCTGTCCAAAGTTCTTTTTTGGAAGGAGGAGACGGATCGGACATCACCACGACACAACACCACCGTAAAGCATAGTTATGTCCAAACTTGTTCGTTTAAAGTTCGCCGGGGAAGACCTGATAAAGTTCGAACGAAAACAAGAACAGCAGGGCCGAAGATGATCCCCCCGCCGCCTCGCCCTCGCGGCGCCTGTTCCCTGGCGCCCCCGACGCGCGCCATAAACGTCCACGATTGCACTGCGGTGGAAAAGCTGGCCGGTTCGGCGGCGAAGTCGCGTTCGGTTTCGCCGCCCGCTTCTGCGGGCGGCCAGCATGGGCGCGAGCCCGTCGCCAAATCGGCGCCAGGGGGGGGCCCGGGGAACAGGCGCCGCCAGGGCGAGGCGACGGAGATGTCAGCTGTTCTTCAGCCTGTCCCACAAGGTGATCGGAACACCCCTGGCGAATTTTGGGCGGGCGTTCTTGTGGCACCTGGGCCAGAACATCGGTTCCAAATGTTCGAATCCACACCCGCCCGCGCCTCGTCCTCGCCCCACCCCACCCACCCCCGCCGGACCTTGCTCAAACCTGAATGCGACCGGGCCCTTGCCCGACTTCCACGTTTGCCCGTCACCTTCCCTTTCAGGGGTGGAGGCGGGCCAGGCCTGCCCCCGCAGCTCGATTTTTCACACGCCCCCCCCCCCCGAACTATGAACCGCGGGCCGCGACCGTGGTTCACCTCGCGTTGACGTTGGTCGCCGGCGGCTGGCTGGCGGATGGCGACCACTCCCTCGCTTTACTGAGTCACACAAGCTGCCATTATACCTTGCAGCGCTCCTCTTCGGAACTGGCACCCGCCCCCCGCCGTTCTATCGTCGTTCGCGCCCGCCCCCAGAATGCAGCGACTGATGGCCCCCTGCCCCCCTCGTTCGGCCTCCAGACCTGTCTCGGAGCGCTCTGCGACCGAGACTTCAAAGCGAATCCGGCCGCGCTGACGCAAGCCCACCCGCGGGGTCGCGTCCAATCCCCGCCAACGACGACGAAAACGACGACTACGACGGCGACGGCGACCGGCGACGGCGACAGCGACAGTGGCAGCGGCGACTGCGGCGACGAAGGCGGCGACGGCGACGGCGACGGCAACGTCCCGCGGCTTCCAGCGGCGCGATCCCCGGACGCCCCTGGAGGCGCCCAGAGGCCTCCCGGGACTCCTGGGGGATCGAAAGTGGCCGACCGAAAAGAGAACTTCATGGGAAAACCCTCGACCCTCATCGACCGACGACGAGACTCAGCAAGGCAGAGAGGAGCAGGAGGAACAGTGGGAGGAAGGGGGGGAAGAGGGAGAAGTGAAGGAGGAGGAGGAGGAGGTCGAACCTGCCAAATCCAGGGTACCCTTGTGCCCTGCCTACCCCGTCTCGTGTTTTCGCGGATTCTCGGGCCATGTTGCCCTCGGAAGACTTTTATGTCCTCCTGGCTGCCCTGCCCAATCAGCTCCGACTGCGTTGGTCCCGCTCCATGCGCCTCCCCTGTCGACCCTCCCAATGCGCCGTGCGGCGGCGGGGCCCGCCGCGGCGCAGCCCCAAGCCGCTGGAAGAGCGCCCGGGCAAGACGAGGAGGGGCCTAGACTTCCGACGCTGTGTCTTCCCAGTCGTTGAGATACCCGCGGTTTTCCTCGTTGGCGGGCCGTTTCTGGTTTCGGGGGCCGCCCGACGAACTGCCCGAGATTAAATGTTTGCCCCGATGCATTTGCCCGGACCCCAGGAGAGGGCCCGCGTCGGGAAAACGCCGAAAACGCCCCGAGCAACGCCCGGGGCCCCCAAGAGACCCCCAGGACACCGCGCGAGGACTCGAAGAAAATTTTCGGACAACAGGGGGAACGAAGAGACTCCGAGAGGCATCCAAGAGCCTTCTGGCTTTTCTGATCGTCCTCCTCCTCCTCATCCTCGCCCGCGTCCGCCTACTCCTTCTCCTCCTTCCTCCTCCGCGCGGCCGCGTTGACGAAATCGCGCCCAGAGGCAAAAAGGCGTGGACCAAAGTCAATTCCCGCCGACGACGACAAAAACGACGACCGCGACGACGGCGGCGGCGAGCGGCGACGGCAACAGAGGCGGCGGCAACGGCGGCGACGACGGCGACGGCGACGGCGACGGCAACGCCCCGCGGCTTGCGGCGGCGCGATTCCCGGAAGCCCCTGGCAGTGCCCGAAAGCACCCAAGGGCCACTGGGGGCCCGAAAACGGTCATAATCGTAAAACGCCAGTCGGAAATTGCATAGGAAAACCGTCGACCCATTTCGACTGACGACAAGACTCAGCAAGAGAGGGAGAGATTGGGAGAGAGAGGGAGAGAGAGAGAGAGAGAGAGAAAGAGAGCGAGAGAAAGAGAGATACAGAGCAAGAGAGAGAGAGAGAAGAGAGAAAGAGAGAGGGAGAGAGAGAGACAGGGAGACAGAGAGAGAGAGAGAAAGAGAGAGAGAGAGAGAGAATAGAGAGAGAGAGAGAAAATGAGCGTATATAGAAAGAGAGAGAGAGAAAGAGAGAGAGAGAGAGAGAGAAACAAAACAGACAAACATACGGAGAGAGAGAGAGAGAAAGATAATGAGAGAGAAAAAGAGAGATATAGTAAGATACTGATCTATACATCTATGGAAAGAGATAGAGGGAACACACACAACACGAACAACAGAGAGAGAGAGAGAGAAAAAGAGATAGAGATAGAGAGAGAGAGAGAGAGAGAAACAGAGAGAGGAAGGGAAAACAACAAAGGAGAGGGAGAGTGAATGAGAGAGAGAGAAATAGATAGAGAGATATATACAAAGAGAGAGAGAGAGAGAGCATACACAAAATACAGAGAAACAGAGAGAGAGTGAGAGAGAGAGAACCCAAACAAATAACAAACCCATAATGCGAGAAAAAGAGAGAGATAATAACCACACATATACAGAGAGAGGGAGAAACATAACTGATAGAGATAGTGATATACAACTACAAGGGGAGAAATAGAGAGACAGAGAAAGAGAGAGAAAGAGATGAAGAGAGAGAGAGAGAGAAACCACGAGCAAACAAACACAATACAGAGAGAGCAAACGAGATAGCGCCAACCAAGAAAAAACGAGAGAGAGAGAGAGAGAGAGAGAGATACATCAAGAAACACATGAGAGAGAGAGAGAGAAAGAGAGATATGGAGAGGACGGAGAGAGAGAGAGAGAGAGAAATAATCAAAAAAGGGAGATAACGAGAGAGAGAGAGAGAGATAGAGAGAGAGAGAGAGAGAGAAAAAAATAGGGAACGAGAGAGAGAGAGAGAGAGAACACAACGAAAACAAACATAGAGAGAAAGAGAGAGAGAGAGAGAAAGGGAAACAAAACCAGATCCTGGCGAAAGACCCAACCAGATGCACTTGTGAATGCCGCGTTGTGCGTGCCGCTCTCGGTGGGGCCCCCTATGGGGCCACGGTCCTCGTGAAGGGGTGTGCCGAACTGGGCGGGGGGGCGCGCGCGGGCCCTGCCGCTGGGGCCTTCGGTGGAGCTCCCTGTGGGGCCGCGAACCTCGTGCGGGGCGTGCCGAAATGGGCGGCGGGACGCATGCGTCGTTGAGTTGCCCGCGATTCTCTTGAAAACGGGGGCCGTTTTTGGTTTCAGGGGCCGCCCGACAAATTACCCAGGATGAAGCGTCTGCCACAGCGCATTTGCCCAGGCCTCAGCAGGGGGCCCGCGTCGCGAATACAAAGCGCGACATCGGATCTCAGGGGGGGCGGCATGGCGACGGGCGCCGCTGCCAACGCGGGAGGGGCTCATGGGCCAAGGGAAATGCAACCGCGAGGGCCTGGCCCATGGGGTCGAGAAGCCTGCCCCCTCTCAGCCCCCGCCCCTCAAATGTTTCGCCGTTTTCGTTTCGGCCCCCAGAGGCCCCCGCCAAATGAATGCATACATATGAATCATATACACACATGAGTTTACAGGCTAATGAATTAGAAGTCGTTCTGTTCCACGAACCGGTATGTCCATAACATTTGGGATGTAAGCTTCCCCATGGCAATTTAGTTGATGCAGCTGTTTGTGTGCAGCGCGCTTGAAAATAGTTCTCAATGGCGGAGCCAAGTAGCGTTCTGGATGGATGTGTATGATCTTGTGAAGGTGCATGGAATTGGAAAATCAATTGTTTCGAACACATACTTACATACCACTCAGAACTCGTACAATTTTCTCGGGGTCGGTACGCTTCAGTGATCGTCTTCAATTTGTGTCGGGTTTATTCATATGATTGCATGTGATTTCTGAAAAATTGGAAATTAATAAAGCAATTCCGGCAAACAATGGCTTGCATAAGTTCGGTCATTTATTTTCTGTGTGACTTAAAATGGCCCTGCTATATTTTCAAAAACGTGTAAGCACCCAGGGGGGTGCAATCATAGTAGCAATGTTGCTGAATTTTACGTGTGAAATTAAACGCGTCGTAAAGAGTAAGGACCTGTTAAACCATGTGTTTCAAAACCCTCATTGATTAGACCATTATTAATGTCATGTGAACTTGCATGATCCAATGATAATAATAAGCCTTAGTTGTGGTTGTCGGACTCGTAGTTCCAATAAACAAAGCAGTGCCGATACCTGACCTTATGACTATACACGAATAGGGAAATAATGCAATACCTCATTTGATTCAACAAATGACATCAAGTAATTGTCATAATGCTTGGTATGTTCAAATGGCTGCATACGATTCAATGATTCGCTTTCAAAAACATTGTGCAACATAACTGGCAAGGTTCAAACCAACTGGAACACATCCGTTCATGATAAGATTTTAAACGGTTTGTACAGGTTGATGAAGTTCAGAATCAGCACTTTCATAAGAATACGATTTACGTGATTATGGCAATTCAGAATTTTAAATGAAAGACATGGCTCACTAACGAAATCACAAACATACTTATGTAAAACTACTAAATCTCAAGTTTCAACAGACAGAAAACAGGTTGCTAGCATGATCGTGTGAGTGTGTGCGATTCCGTGCGCATATGGCACAGCTGAATTTTACATCAAAACACAAACAACACAAAACGACTGAAATGTCCTGGGATTTCCCTGGAAGTCACCCAGATCTTTATGGAAAACGCGATCGGTTCAACCTTTTCCCTCCGGCCCACCCTTACAAGGGGAGCCCAAAAGGGGGGCGTCCAGGAGGGGCGTGTGCGCATCATGACCCGAGGCTTGTGCGCGGACGAGGGGAGGTCGCCAGGGAATATTTCGAAACATATTGAAGGGGGCAATGGAATTCGGGCTGATCTCATGGTCCCAACCATGAGATCCTAGAAAGCACCCCCCTCCTGGCGCCCGCAGGCTTCTCCCCAGGACCAGCCCGTCGTCGTCGTCGTCGTCGTCGTCGTCGTCGTCGTCGTCGTCCTCATCGTCCGCCGTCGTCGTCGTCGTCGTCGTCGTCGTCGTCGTCGTCGTCGTCGTTGTCATCGTCGTCGTGGTTGCCGTCGTCGTCGTTGTCGTCGTCGTCGTCGTCGTCGTCGTCGTCGTCGTCGTGGTCGTCGGCGTCGACGTCGTCGTCCAGACCAGCTCTTCCTCCCGAGATGATGCTTGAAGGTCCCATGGCACGAGGACGGGCCCCAGGCGCCCGAGGACGGCGAGAAACCTTCGGACCCGCACCCCCCTGGACCGTGAGCATCGTTTGACCGATTCCTGTCCCCACTGGCGAAGCCTTGGCCACGCTGGCCACCTTATCCCCCCCCCACGTGGGCAACAAAAACAGATATCAGTATCCGCGGCCTCGCGGGCTGGGCCCTTGGGCCGCGACCCCGCGGATGCGGGGCATGTTTTCGCGGCTGCCCCGCGTGGAACGAACGTATCCGTGGGACCGCGTATCCGCAGGACCGCGCCCTGGAATGCAGACCGCGAGGGCGCGGATACCGATGTGTGCGTTGCTCTTATGCTGTCCGCGTAGTGCTCACTCCCGGCGGCAATCCATAACAGGTGGATGCCCACGTTTTGCCTCTCAGTGGGGACTTTTACTGTCAATCTTGAGACGCCTCGACCAACCCTGGAACAACAAAAATGTGCGTTGCTCGTGACCCTAGATAGGGATATATGCCGCTCCCTTCGGATTTCGCGTGACCCATTCCCAACTGGGGTGGTGGGATGGGAGGGCTGAGATACCATGGACGGATGGGGGTGGGGATGGGTATAGGCTAAACCCAGACCCCCGAGAGCATGACTGTTTCACAACGTCGACCTCCAAAGGTCTCGACTCATTCCCCGGGACCGGTTTTTCACCCTGGATCATTTTCTAACGGTCCAGAGGCCGGGTAAGGGCCACCAGGGGCCCAAACTAGCGAAAAACCATCCGTCCGACTTTTTCACGATGCGAACGGGTCTGGGGAGGATGCTGAGACCCGTTTGCTTCATGGCGGGTGCCGCAGCACGCCGTTCTCCTCCAGGCCGTCCACCAGCGTCCGCAGCTCCTCGCCGTTGAGCTTGCCGCCCGCGATCCTGGGGAGGTTGCCGCCGCCCCCAACCGCGGGGCCGCGGGAGTAGGTTCTACTCTCCTCCCCTCCTCTACCTCCTCCCTCCCTGCCTTCCTTCCTCCTTCCTCCTGCTCCTCCCCCATCTACTGTCATTCTTTCATTATAGAACTCTCCCCTGTCGCGCCCCTGGGCGTGTCGGAAGAGCGGGTCGGGTGTTTTGCCCGAGCTTTGCGACTGCTAAACCGTTGATGACCCTGAAGCCAATTACACGGACGGAACACGCGCCATTTTCAACATATGGCTCCCGCCTTAGCGCCGCGCACAGTCGTCTCAACAGCTTGTAGCGGTTACACGAAGGGTGCACGCATCGTTCTCAAGGTGTAGCTCTCGCCTTAGCGCCTCGCACGCCCGTCTGAACCCCACGCAGCCGGTGCATACTCGGATGGAGGGCGGTTCCCCGGACATCCGGCTGCTCCAACTTTTTCGATGCGTGGGCTCCAGAGGTATGGACCACTTCCCCTGGGCCGGTTTTCCGTCCTGAGTCGCTTTTTGACGGCCCCGATGCTCGGCGAGGCCCCGCGGAGACCGAAAACGGCCAAGAACTGCCCGTTCAATTTTTTTTGAGCGTCGGATCTTTGCGTGCCCATCCCGATCCCACCGAGAGGGGGAGGAGAAGGAGGAGGAAGAGGAAGGAGGAGGAGGAGAAAGAGGAGAAGGAGGAGGAGGAGGAAGAGGATGAGGAGGAAGAGGAGGAGGAGGAGGAGGAGGAGGAGGAGGATGAGGAGAAAGAGAAAGAGGCTGAGGAGGAGGAGGAGGACGAGGAAGAGGAGGAGGATGAAGGATGGGGGAAGAAGGAGGAGAGAGGAGGAGGGGAGGGGGAGAGGGGAGGAGGAGGAGAGAGGAGGAGGAGGAGGGAGGAGGAGGAGGAGGAGGAGGAGGAGGAGGAGGAGGAGGAGGAGGAGGAGGAGGAGGAGGAGGAGGAGGAGGAGGAGGAGGAAGAGGGGGAGGAGGAGGAGGATTTTTTTCCTCAGCGAGCCAGTGGGCAGGCATGCCAGAGCCTGAGGGACGCTGAAACCGTGGAGGGGAGCGCCCCCCCCATGCTGCAGGCGGCAGTCCCAAGGCAAGTGGATGACAGCATTGCAGGCATCGTGAAAGTGCCAACTGCAGAGAAGACCAAGACGACAAGGACAAATCGCAGCCTCTGGGATGGCCGTGAGAATCCCGTCCTACAGAGGGATGACAGCGACGAACAGATCCCCGACAGCGGCCTGCGTGTGCGGATTGCGAACGAGATGGAGTATGCAGGAGTGCTACTCCGTCGTGCGCACTGGGGAGCGGCCGCGGCGCGCAGGCTACTCCGCCGTGGCGGTGCGGAGGCCAAGGGGGCCTGGCAGATGCTTCTCGGGCGTCGAATGAGCGACGTGCTGCGCGGCACTGCCGCCCTCCGAGTGACAGCGTTGCGGCACGACGCCGTCGAGCGGTCGTACTACGGCGACCTGGGCGAGCCGCAGGCACGACGTCCATCCGGGATGCGGAGAAGCTCATCGGCGGGCTCGCTGGAGTCCGCGCGGCCTTCCAAGCGGAGGCCACCCGAGGCGCGGAGCGGCTGAACTCGCCTGGGCGCCGCCCTCGCCCGCACCTTCGGCGAGGAGGCGGTGGCGGGCGAGGCGGCAAAGAGCGCCCGCTACCGCGGCCCGCGCGCCCCTGGGGACGCAGCGGCGGGTGCGGCGATCGGGAGCTGAAAACGCCATGGACGCCGCCTTCGACCTGTAGGCGGACTTCATGGGCCCAGGTCGGCGTGGGCAGAGCCTGGTGTTAAACCAGGTTCGGCCTACGCTAAGGAATGGTCTATAGGGGGTTTCCCGCGTTGTGGATTCGTCGTGCATGACCTTCTTAGGTCGAGTCTTGCATCCTCCTCCTCCTCCTCCTCCTCCTCCTCCTCCTCCTCCTCCTCCTCCTCCTCCTCCTCCTAGGTGGCTCCGCAGCGGGCCGCGCGACGCCGCAGCATTTTGCCCCGCGGCCGCCGCGGCCCGTGCCATTGCAGAGCCCCCAGCGCCGACGGCGCGCTGCCCGAGCGGACCCACGAGGTCACGCTCCCCCGCCTGGCACAGGCGCCACCGCAGGCGCAGGAGCCAGGCCCGCCAGGAGCTCCAGCTGGCGAACGCTCGCCTCCTCCTGAACCTCCACCACGGCAGTATGGCACCGACCCAGTGGACGACGTGCAAACATTGCAAAATGTGGTGGTGGATATCTCAGATGGAGTCGCGAGACTACTGGTGCACCTGCGGTTGCCGAGTTGCTAGGCCCAGGGGTGACACGCCGAAGGGCGACAGCAACGCGGGCAAGGGCAAGGGCAAGGGCAAAGACAAGGACAAGGAGAAGCAGTACGGTTCGGACGGTGCCACGGGCTACGAACAGCAGGGCTTCGCGCAGATCGCCACGGCCTTGCAGACGATGACGAGCTCCCTGGACACCCTCCAGATCGAGAACAAAGACGGCATCGCCAAGCAGCTTACGAGTGTGGCCACGGCACTTCAAGCAGCGGCGAGTTCCCCAGTTCAGGTTCCTAAGTCCCGAGCACTTCGGTTGGCAGAAGCAGCAAGGAAACTCGAGGACGCGAACAAAAAATACAAATGGGCGTTCGATGCAAAGCACGCAGCGGTCGAGAAGGCCAAGAAGGCAACTGAGCTGCTCACGGCCAGAGCTGACGACGTTCTGAATGCGGAGAAGGAAATAGAGATGATCCAGCAGGAGTGCAAGGAGAAGCCGAAGAGCATCTTCGACCAGCTGCTGAACGCGGACACGGAGCTGATCCAACCATCGGAGATCGAGATCGCCGAGGTCGAGGCTCACTTCCAGTACGACGAGGACATGGACGAAGAGGGAAAGCGGCAAGTGGAATTAGCGAAGAAGCAAGTCCTGGAGCAGCTCCGGCAGACGGCATCAACCTTCAGGGGCCAGCTGAAAGACCACTTGCAGCAGGCGAAAGAGACAGCACAGCAGGAGCGCGCCACGATCACCCAGGCCTACAAGAAGCGGAAGGCGGGCTCAGATGAAACGACGAAGGAGGCGCAGGCAGCTCCAGCAGAGGCCCCAGCACCAGCAGCAGCATCCACACCTGCAGGCGAGCCCGACGACATCCCCGTCGACGGAGCAGACGCCTACCTGGAGCAGCGCAGGAGGGCGGAGGCGGCAGCTGGCGGCAGCGGTGGGACAAGCGCTGGCTCAGGCCAGCACTAGGGCCCACCGCGGAGGGGCAGGCGACCCGTTGGCGACGCCGAGCCCCTGGACCGCACGATCTTTTTCGCCAACATATCAACGTGGGGACCTACGGCCAAGAGTTGGATCCGACGCGACGGGCTTCGACAACCTTATGATGCTTATGCGCTTCTGGAAACACACTTGGCACAGGCACAACTCAATGACGTGGAATACGAGCTGCAGAAATCTGGGTTCTCAGCAGTTTTCGCGGCAGCCAGGCAGAGCGAGAAGAGCCCGAAGGGGACCCACGGTGGCACAGCTGTCATCACCAAGGGCCACCTGAAGGCTACCTCTTTCCGCCACATGGCACGGGCAGGCACGACCTCGAGTGTGACTACTCACCAAGGGCCGTGTGACATAGACATGATCGACTGGACGCCAGTCACGCTCCATTTGAAGGGCACCTCGCTGCTCATCATCTCCCTCTACTTAGATCCGAACGCCTCACTCGTCGACGGGGTAAACGCCAGGAAGTTGACCTCGCTCGCGGCATTCCTCCACACTACCTCCATGCCGTGGATCATCTGCGGTGACTTCAATTGCGAGTTCGACGCGCTTGAGAAGTCAGGGTGGCCGACGGCACTGGGCGCAACGGGTGTGGTCCAAGTGCCAGAGGGCCAGAACACATGCTTCCTAGGCGACGCGACCCCCTCGAACATAGACTACGCCCTGGTCAACCCTGGAGGCCAGAGACTTGTTCGAGGTATACGCGCTGTTCACGATGTTCCTTGGAAACCACACGTGGGGCTGGTTATTACAATAAAGGCAGCAGTGCAAGCGAACGAATGCAGAAGATTATGTACGCCGAAAGCTTTTCCCCACCCCAAGCTGCCGAAGAAGACCAACCCCAACAGCAAAACAGCAAAGAAGAAGAAGAAAGCAGCGCTACCAGTCCTGGACGAATCAGACAACCCCTCCGATGACGTACCAGCCGAGACCGACACGATGAGATGGGAAGCCCTTGGGCCAGACGGGTGGAAGCGAAACCAGACTGGAGCGATAGAAGACGTTGAGACCAGTGAATCAGTCCCAAGACAAGTCGCACAAATGGACATCGAGGACATAGACCCCTCCGACGACCTGGATGCGAACCATATCAGCTCGGACAGCGACATGCTCATCCCAGAGGATGTCGAAGGGACTTGGGACACACCAGTGGCGATGGATACCACACAAAAGGCGGCGAATGAGACCATGAACGACCCAAATGCAGCCACGACCAACTCGTCGGACCTGTCGAAGGAAACCCAAGGGACTACCTCACAGACGATAGAGCAGCGGATCGCGGACAAAGCAGCAGGGGTGGACACCACAATCATGGACGACACTTGGGAAGTGGCAGCACAACTACAGGCCTTGGAGTCAACTGACACGGCCCCCGAGTACATAAAGCAGAGTGCAGCATACAAGACCGACCCAAACGGAGCCGAACGACTAGGACGGCAATATCACCAGTTCATCGGCACTCTGGAGAAATTCTATTGCATGGCTTACAAAGTGGACTTGGCAGACAGATCAGTATTTTGCGGACGTGGACACCCGTATGAATTCAAGACAGCGCCGCTGAAAGAAAAAGGAGACCGACGGGCACGATACGCATCACATCGCACAGACTGGTGGAACAGGGCCGACACAGTGCTGAGCACACTGGTCAAATTACAAGAACGCGGACGAGGCCTCCAACAACAAGAAGCACTAGCCAGCGCAGGGCGACGCCTCGTACGGGAAGGACTGCCACCAGTTGGGAAGGGAGCCTCACACACC